GCCTCTCGGTCACTTTGGCTGAACAAAGTCTGTCCTCCCATCGAGCACTTCAGGTGCAGCACAGCCCCAAACTGCCCTGATTGAGGCTGTTTAAACTGGGTACACCTTGTAAAACTTCTCACTGCAGAGACAGTGTCTTGGAGCCACTATCAAATCACACAAGTGGAGTCAAATTAGATCAGATCACAGCTAAAGCCATCCCAGCATCCTGTCTGTTCCCGCGGTCATTAGTGGATGTAAATGGAAAGCTGCTAAGGAACAAGGATCAAGTAATCTTGTACCAACCCAGTCCTCCACAGGAATTGGGGGTGTTACAAATTAGATGACTGATGTTCTCATAACAGGCTTCCACTGGAATGAAACCCACCTTTCCCTCTGCTTTGAAACTGCAACCCTACAGTCAACAAGTTTGCAGAAAAATGCGTCTGCAGTGGGTTAAGATGGGAAAAGTTCTCAGCAGAATTCCCCACATGTTGACAGAAATTAATGTGGAGATGACAGAAGACTTCAGCTGAAGGGAGGGCTTGACAAAGTCTTCCTCCTTGGAATTAATAACTTGGCTTAAAAGCACCCATTTGCTTCTTGACTTAACCCTGTCTCTTGCTGCTTCCTTGAGGCACTGACACAAGGCTGTTGGATATTTGAGGGTAGAGAGATGCTTTCAAGATCAGGTTTAGCTCTGTTTTAATTTTTAAAATATTAAGGGTAGGCACAAGAAAGACTAACTGTAGTACACTGTTCAGGCCACTCAGATGTTAGATGTGGGCTCAGTTTACTGCAGACAGAAAGGGGCAAGTAACTGGCCCTTCTAAATCCTCTGCTGGATGCTTTCAGTATGAGGCTGACAAGTAAAGGAGCACTGGCAAGTGCTTTTGTGAATATAACCTTTGATTTTTTTGTTTTTCTTAAAAATTCCCACTCTCTTCTTCCTCCAAGAAATGGCCAGGTCTGTTTTGCTTTGAGTTGGGATGTTTCTTTTTTAAAATATTATATAGAACTTTTTGCTTCATTTTAGTAGCAAAATTAATAATTTAGAATTTAGTCAGTGCCATATGAACCTGATGTTTTATGTCTTGATTTGGCTGTCAGACACCACCACCCCCAATTAAATTAATTATTGAACCTTAATTGTGGGAGGTCTTATACTTTCTAAGAATCTGAAGGGCAAGGATGTCTCTCTGCTGATGACTGTTTCCAGTCAAGAGTGGTGAGGGGATGATGTGTTCGTGTTTCTCTGTTCCAATTCAATGGGCTGATCCAGGTGGTCACAGTCCTGCAGGGCTTTCCCAACCCAGAACACGTTTCTGGGAGCAGGTAGCAAAATGTCCAGCCAAGATCCTTCTCTTTTCAAAGATCAGATCCAGTGAAGCTGGAAGAGAACATGTGGAGAAATCCCTCAGTCACACGATGCTCTTCTGTACGTGGTGTCATACAGGAAAACGAACTGCTATGGTGACCCTTTCTAAAACAAACCAATATTCAGGTGGATCAAGTCATGCTGTGGGGAAATAATGGCTTCATAGTCAGGTATTCGGATGAAAAGACGTAATTGTACGTGTCATTACTTCACTATTGGTTTCTAGAACCTACCTGCCAATTAATCACCCAGTGTGGGAGGCCCTCCTTTGGGAAATGGGGTAGCCGGATCTTTCCGAAGTTCTGGAATTCCCTGGCCCCTGTGTGCACTCGGGGATGTCTCTGTTTGCTATATCCATGTGGATCCGTGTCCTTGGAAGGGAGCACGTGCCCTTGCTGTCCCATATGCCCTGGGAGGTGAGAGCAGGTCCAGCTCTCCAAGGTCAGGACGCAGCCCCCTCCCCGCGGCAGCGCTGCCCCGTCTCACCCAGCACGGCTCCTCCCGCCCTGACAGCCTGGCAGTTCATCACCCAGATGAAAGCTCTGATCTGCCCTGTTTGTCAGCAGAGCTGTCACAGGTGAAACTGTGCAGATTTCCAAAGGCAGGTGAATTCCAGAGTCAAACGTGGCCGGGGGGCAGAGGCACAGAGCAGGCAGGGACTGTGCAGTTATTTAAGGCTTTGGGATGTCTCGGGCACGGTGCTGGGTGCTTCTGGCTGGCTCTTGCCCATGACTGCACTGGAAGAGGCCTAAGGGACAGTTCTTGGAATTCTTCAGATTGTCAGGGACCTGCTGCTCAGCTAATGGGCTACATAGGGATTTCTCAGCTCTAGGAGGGAAAGATTTAAACCCTGTATTGGGCCACCTTTTAGACTTTCAGATTTCCAATACTCATATCGAGAAGGGCTTCTGAGACTCAAACCTCTACTTTCTTATGCACAAAGCTTTACTTACTTTTCCACAAAGTCTTATATTTTGAAGTAGTTAGGAATACTATGAGCACAGAAAGTAGAGTCCTGTATGTCCTGTAGAGAGCCCTGATACAGGGCTCTGAATGTGATGGTGATTCTGCGTTGTGGTTCAGAGCTTTCCTAATCTGCCAGAATGCAGAGTGAGGCTTAATTGTTGGTGCTGGTTTGTGAACAACAATTATGAACACCAACCAGTCATGTTCTGGTTTTATAGCAAACACTTGGAAACAGTCACAACCCAACAAGCATTTGAAGGACTCTTCAAAAAACAAGCAGCAGACACCTTGGGCAAAGCCTAAGCATGACTGATAGTGGAGGAAAGAGAAAGGTTATGGGTTTATCAAGCAGGAAAACCAGTCACACTAAAAGCAAGAAATGTAGTAGGCAGAACTGATCAATCTGTACACCTCTCATGTGTTCCCTAGCTAATCCCACTGGCGTTCCAATAATAATTTGATAGTGCTCTAATTTCTCTGGAACTGGTCATGCGCTTAACAAACACACAGCAAATACTAGAGAGCTTCATTAAATACCATTATTATTCATCAAATAAAATTCCTCCCCTTCCCAGTGGTAATCAAGTGGCTCAGTGGCATGCTGGGAGGGGAGGAAGGTAAAAACCAGGATTTATTGAATACAAAATTGAGTGGCAGTGTGAAAGCTAAGTTCAGTGCATTCTGAGCAGCTAATTTTGTGAGAGCTCGAGGATGGAAAGGGGTCAATATTCTTTGCAGGCAAATTCAAGGGTCAAAATGTGCCACTTGCACACTGAGTATTCCCATTTTCCCTGTCATATGTACACTGCACCTACTTGTGTCACTGTGGTTTGTCCCACCCTCAGTCCCCTCTTCCTGATCTCTCCAAACTCAGTGCTACAACACACTTCCCTTGGGAGGAAAAGGGTGGTGACAGTGACCAAAATAGATAATTTGGAAGTCTGTGCCAGGCAGCAGCACAGGAACAGTCTCATTAGCAACAGAGCCAGTTTTAACTCTATGAAATAATTTTGTTCTGACAGATCTATGGCCCAGAGCATTTCCCAGGTACCTGTTTCCTAGGGTTTGGTCAGGTGATGAAACCACAGACCTTCTTCCCTTGCAATTCTGTGCTCTGACACTTTTCCCAGTCACCACCTCCCCGAGAGCAAAGCAGGATATTCTCAAAGAGACTCAGAGCATTTGGTTGGATATGATCTCCACCTAACTAATGCCATCAAAGTGTCCCAAAGAAGCAGCTCAGGTTTGTACCATGTGCTATGAATAATGAGGAAAAGATGATGTAAAATGTGCAACCACTTTTTATTTCTAATTTATTTATCTATTCTATATCTGGAATGAACTGCCCAACTGAAACATCCCTAAATGCCAGCAGAAATGTTTGGAGATTAGGAACACCTCAGAGATGAGATTTCCCCAGTGTCCCCTCCATGGGCATATGATGACTCCTTGTCATGAAAATAAACACACCATTCTACTAAACACTAATATAGAGAAGAGTTGGCACAGATAAAGAACTCGTGGTTTATGTAAGCCAAGGTTCTGTCTCTCACAGGGACCAGTACAACTGCCACAGATGGAGGTGAAATAAAATAAAAATCAATAGGACAACTTGCCTTGAGGGGAATTCTTCCTAATTGTGGAAAGTTGGAGAATGGCTGAGAGATGAGTTCAGACGGTACAAAAGGAAACAGATATCAGAAAAGGGGACACATGCAGGCAGAGTTTTGCCACTTGCACAACTAAGGTGTTTGTTTTTACCATGCAGACGAAGTTTCTTTGGAGTTTATGTGATGGTTTTTTACACACTTGGGAGCAAACAACGTGCTTGGTTGTGGCAGGACACGGCAGAGGGCTGCCCTCACCAACACCCATGGAAGCTCTAAGTGGCTGTGCAGGGTGAGCACTCCCAGCACTCCCAGTTTTCCCAGCACAGCCCCTCAGGAGGGTCCCAGTGAAGCTATGGTGCATCTGGAAGGGGTGTCTGGTTTCTGAGCCGAGAGGCAGAAGCGGGACCCCAAGGGGAGGCTCTGTCCCTGACCCCCTTTGCCCTCCCTTGTTCTGATCTTTATTGGGCCGTCTGCCTCGTAGCATCAAAGGCAAAAGCAGGCCCGTGATTTGTCCTACAACAGCTCTATAAAAAACATAATTGCCCAATAACCCTCTGTCTGAAAACCAAGCCATCTTCCTGTTTCTTCTCTCATAAAGACTATTTGACAAGCCTGTTCCATCAGCTTATAAAAACCTAGAAATAGTTGCCTTCCCTAGAAAGAAACTTCACAGAAAAACAGAAGGAAACTAGTTTTTCTTACATGTATATGTAGTGTGTGTATACACACAAATATATATACACACTAAGATTTCCACATGTAAAATACCTAAACCACATAAGACAGTGGAGTTACCTACTGGTATGACAAGCAGAGGAATTATTCCTTCTTAAAATAAGGATGCAACCCTACACACTGAATTCACAGGGTCAGAAATGTTCTGTACAAAATTGAACAAAAGTGTGTGCTACTCAACTAAAAAGGGAATGACCTAAAAGAGATGCAGTAAGAATCATCCTGGCACTGTTCTGAAGTTGCATAGGATCAGACACAATGCAAGATCATTGTTTTTCTTTTTCTCTCTTAGAGCTTCTTTTCCCACATAGTAATGTTGTTGCAAGACTCACCAATAAATATGATTCTTCAGCCTTCCTTCTGATAAGTGTGCAGATGTAAATTGTCCAGTCACCTTCTGCTTAGTGTAGGGAGTAGCTCATTCAGGTGACATTCTGTCCTCGAGCATCCTTGAGAAAATACAGAGAAACTCCAAATTAAAATTGCTGTACCTAAGCTTTAAATCTAGATCACTTTGTGCTTCAGCCACTAAAAAGTAGCTTGAAGTAATCCTTTGAATAATCTTGCTTCTGATGAAAAGTTTTCAAAAAGATCAGTTATCCAACAACTTGCCTGACTGTCACAGGTCTCATTTGAAATATTTAAGGTAGATATACAGTTAAGATTTGATTTGTGGTGCTGAGATTTACACTCCTGGCAAATGTAAGAATATTGCAGTTTAATTTACTTTCAATACAAAATAGTTGCTTTGATATGGCTGAGAACAAACGCCTTGGGATCTGTTCCTCCCCAGTGACGTCAAATAAGAATTCCTCCATTAATATTAGTGGATGGATGAAGGATCAGGTCTCCAAAAACAAACAAAGAAATAATTTATGGCTACTGCTATGGGCCAAATGTTGAAGAGTTTGCTTTATTGCACGTGCAAACCTGCTGAAGTCAATGAGGACCTCAATAAGGAGGGTGGTGTCAAAGCTGAAGGAAGGTGCTGATTTCAGATTCCACTGAATGCTCTGATTCTGGACCCAGGATTTGATTTTAGTGTTCTTTGTCTGAAACAAGGGTAAAACCAGATATAGTTGAGGCCATTCTAAGCAGATGTATCCATAGCTATAATGCTGAATAATGGCAGCAGCTGTAATTGGAAAGTTTCAAATAATACAATAATTTCATTCACAGTACATAGGATGTCTCTTTGTGTATTTTCATAGCTTTTTTCAGTCTTATACAGCAATGAAATATTAATTTTCCATTCAGTTATCTGTGCTCTGGTTTGTATTCACGTAGCTAATTGTCTCTGTGGGACTGAACCTTGGTTACATTTATTTTATACAGCTGCCAGTTGCTGCTGGCCAACAGTCTGGTTCCAGCATTCACTCTCCTGGTTCCTTGTCATGCACTTGGTTCATCTCTGTTCAGAGCCCTCCTGTGATTAGCCAATCTTGTTGTCAAAAAAGAACCATCTTCCAAACCTCCTTTTCTGTGCTCTTTCTGTTCATCACAAGGTCGTCAGTGGGACTCAGCTCTGCACTTCCCCAGTGGATTCCATTGCAGCTTTTCAGTAGTTCCACTTCTGAAGTATCTTCTACCCCCCCTCCAGGCCCTTTCCTTCCCTTTGTATCTAGCAGAGAAGCAACACCTCCTCATCTTTTCATAATTGGGAAGGATGAATCTCCCAGGCAGATACGTTTGGAGCGACCTGCCTGCTGTGGGCACGAGGGCCTGTGGCTCAAGGCAACTCAGTTGGCTCATCTGGTGATGTGAGATGGGAGTCGAGCTTCTCTCAAACACTGTAAAGCCAGCCTTAAAAGAACTAAAGTCAGCATCTGCATCTTCTTCCTGGGGTTTCAAATCTTCTTAGTGCTTCCCTCTACCTTCCCTCTAAGGAGAACACGAATATTCTGCAAACCCTTTCAGCAGTAGGGCACATACACAGAGTGAATGCTGAGCCCACCAATGATGAGATGTTATTTTTGGTCAGTGAAGACTTCAGGCAGAGTCTCACATGCAGCAGAGCAGTGGACAGGTAGTCACACACCTCAGTCATCTCAGTCTCACTCTGTGTGCTGCCCAACCCAGGAATTCCTCCTTCCTTGTTTCTACCAGTAGCCTTGTCCTGTGTTCAGCAGCCTCCTCCTCCTCCCACCCAGTTTGTTTTGGGGACTCCCCAGTGATTTATCCTCCTCTTTGCCGAGGCAGCCTCTGGGCAGCACAGCAAACCCTTCTCTGGCCCCACGTGCCCTGTGCAGATCCCGTGCCAGTCCCAGAGCCAACTGCTACCACAGGTGCCTCCACCTGGGGGAAGCAGAGAACCACAGAGCTCCCGACTTTCGGAAGGTTCCTGAGCACTCCCCTGCTTCAGGTAGGAAGCTGGCTCCTAAATATGCCAGACTCCAGGTCAGTAGTTGTGCCAGGGCCAACACCAGCACTGAACAACCAGAACTTGACCCAAAACCCTGTGTGGGCAGGAGTTCTCTTCTAAAAGAGGCACTGGGTTGGTTGGTGTTGTCCTGAGAACAACTGGACTGGCATCACCTCTGGGAAGACTGATGCACTTGGAGGTTTATGTGCCCTTCTTCCACGTAAACACCAATTTGGGAATCTGTTTAAACCTCACACCTCCAAACTATCAACTTTAACAGTTTCTCCGAGGGAGAATTGGACCCAAAGGTGGGGTTTCACCTGCAGCTTTGGGATTGATGCAGCACAGTGAGGTTATAAGAAGCAAATGACAGGATGTTGGACAGGTTGATTGCTCTTCAAGTTGGAATGCTAAACTTGTCTGGGCCACCAGGCTGTAATGCTGTATTCTCTTAGTGAGGTTGTGTTACACACCTTGAATGATTACCACAGCAGTAATTCCTAATTCTATAGTATTGGAAAAGAAGAGGCTGTGCACCATTTGTGAGGATATTTACTGTTGGTATGCAGTACTTATGCAGTAAACTGTATTGACCTGTATGAGGAAAGCAGAAAGGTGCTGGACACAGCACTTAGCATTGTAGACTGAATTTTGAGCAGAAAATAGAAATGAATGCCTACTTTTAAAAAAAGGAATCAATGTGTCAGTGGTTAAAAAGTCCATACTGAGCAGCAGGATTTTATTTACAGTCTCCTCCAAAGATGCTGGGGTAGTAAAAAAATGATAACTTGTCTTGAAACATTAATAAACCTGAGTTGGCCCATGTGACACTGAGATCTGTGGCCCAACACCTTCAAGCCCAGTGCTTTAACTTCAAGACTCCCTGCACAGCAACTGCTGCACAGAGTTGTTTAAAATGAAGGTCTCAATCCTGCTTAGCAAATCTGTATGGTATAAAGTTGAGCTAAACCAGAGCCTTGTTAAACAAAATAGGGCTCAGTGCTGGCTTGGCAGTTTGCTCCTGCTGTACAGAACTGAGGCTCAAAGTAGAAGCAGATTAAAAAAAAATGTGGAAGAACAAACCTTTCCTCTTGCTCCATCACTCAGGCTCTTACACATGTTGAAAAATAAACAGCCACCAACTTTTACAGCAGCAGGATTTGGAGTGTGCTATTGGGAAACCCACTAAATCTTTAAAGGAGGTACCTTTGGAAATATTTTATAGACACTCATCTCCCCAGCAGGAAAGCTAGTGCTGCAAAGAGACATCTTTAACAAATAAATAATAGTTTATTAAGTCACTTGTCTCCACAGCAGGAAATAAACTGGGGGGTGGGGAAGGAGGGTGGTGGGGTGACAAAGGAAGGGAAACAAAAAACGTTACCCTTGCAACCCCTCTGCTCCACCAGAGCTGTATTTATTTAAAACACTCTTCTCCTAAGACAGATGGAAAAAATAATTAACCCAGCCACACACCCCTTTTATTAAACTCCTTTGTGACCACCAGGGATACGATTAACATGGCCACCATAAAAACCCAGTCCCCTACCCTCAAAATAAAGAGAAAAACACAAGCAAGATTGAGACACGGTGCAGGGCAGGAAGTAAATTAAGAACCTGCCTCTAGGGCAGTGAGAATATTTTTCTGAGTACCTGCTGGAAAATTTGCAAGACAATCATTGTGAAGGGATTTTTTTCACTTTGGTCTTGAGGGCTCACAGAAGAGAATCTTCCTCTTAGGCAACCAACTTGTGTGGAACTGCCACTGCTTCCCAGAGGACAGAATGGGGATATCCAAGTTGTCCCAAACTTGCCCAGTTTTGAAGCTTGCCCAAATCCTCCGTCCCATGTGCAATCACAATTCTTGTGGTGATGGGTATCTCATAAACTCTTTTTTTATTCACTGGACTTTTCTATAGTCTTCCCCTTGCTGCTGCAAGGTATTCCATGCCTGCAGAAGGCCAGGCCAGATTTGCCCAGGAAAAGCTGTCTTCATTTATACAGTGTAATGGAAGTCTGGATTTCTCCAGTTGACTGCACAACACAAATCTAGTACATGGATCCCAAGCAGCAGATTTTCTTTTCCCCTCTACTAATACCTTTTACAGTCACCTACACCTTAGTTTCCAGTTCAAACCAGCCTCCTGTCCACAAGATCAAAATATTCAGGTCAAAGAACCTTCATCCCTTTGTGATGACTCTCCGTGATTTCTTAAACTCCATTACCCTGCCTGTCATCAGAATCATGGGAAAACCAGGAGATCTTAAACCTGTCTGTGGCTATTCACATGTACTCTCATTGCCACAATGGCAAAACTAGATGAAAACAAAAGCTAATTAATAGAAGGTTGGGGTTGTGTATGTGACTCTGTGCAGCTACAGGAGTCCATTCTGGAGGCATCACTGTACTTAGATAGTGGCTTTGCTGTATTATTTCCATGTTATCTTCAGCAGTGAAGTTACCCTTTCTAAATGTGTGTATGCTGACATTCACTCCTGACTGCAGCACTTCATTTGTTAGGATTACCCCAGGCTAAAGGAGACCAGCCAGAATCACTGTGCAGAAAAGGCTTTTCATCACAGCAGCCTGGCTGAAAAATGGGATGCACAGTGTCTACCAGTGCATGATGGTGATGGGAAACCATGCCAAATGTGGCAGCCTGGAACAAGAGGCTGCCAGGGTAAAATTATAGTCATCTCCAAGGTGTAAGATCTGTCAGCTTCCCAAACCAAAGATTTCCAGTCTGTGATTGCCAAGGAAGCTCCTTGCACACTGTCATCATTATATAAGGAAGCACTGAAAATATTCTGAATATTTTGGGAGAACACATTTCCCTCGACACATTTGATTTCAAGCTGACCTGGGAAGCATTTTGCTCACCTTCTATTAACCACAGCCCTGAGTGTTGTATTCTTTATCCCTTAGGAAAAACTGAGGGTCTAAGGGCTTAGTCAAAACCTGTTCCTGTGGAATAAGCTCGTGATTAACATCCCCTGTGCTGCTGTAGATGGTGACCATGGGAGAAGTGATACCAGCTCAAGGACAGGATGACCAAACCACTTGTATGGATAAAAGGTCTCCA